CCTCTCATCAAAACAAAAATAATAATCATGAAAACAAAAGATTTGATACAAGAAAGATTGTTTTCATAACCAAAAGATTTTAAAGCATAATTTTCAAAACCAAGAAAAAGAAAGATAAAAACATTAAAATTCTTGGTTTAAAAAAATCAAATTTGTTTTGGTACCCAAGAATTCTTGGTACCAAAAGATTTAGGGACACGACCCCTATCATTTAAGCTCAAAGCCCTTGGGTTATGAACCCTTTTGGGCGCATTTAGTGCACGGGTCCGGTCATAGCAATAATTATGCAAATGACCCAATCGATTGCAATAAGTGCAATGAAGAGGATGCATTTGGTTATGTTGACCATGTGGATGTGCACGAGGAACGTTTAATGCGGATATGGTAATGTTTTTTTCTTACCGATTAATAACCGAACCGTATCCGTATCCGTTTTCAGAAAGTGGTTATGGTTATGGTAAGGGTCATATCCGAACCGTATCCGAACCGAATACACCCCTATCCATTAGTGATCATATGAACCACTACACGAAGCTTCTTACAGATTTGGCAAGTGTAGATGTTATTGTTGAAGATGAGGACAAGACGTTGCTATTGTTGAGTTCTTTGCCCGACGAGAAATATGAGATGTTTGTCCTTACTCTTATTAATGGGAAAGCATCTCTTTCATATAGTGAGGTCACAACTGCATTAGTGAATTACCATCTTAATAAGAAGGACAAGGAGATTTCTATTGAGCCGGTAGCGGGGACATTGGTTGCAAGAGCAAAGGGTTCAAACCGAGGTAGAAGGTCACAGTCTAGAGGGGCACATCTTAGAATTCGTAGGAATCAGTGTGTTTTTTTATAAAGAAGATGGACGTTGGAAAGCTGAATGTCCAAAGTTAAATGATCAAGCCAGGAAGAATAAGGGGAAAGATATTCAGGCTTCAGAGGTGAATGTTGTCAAGGCTAGTGGCAACGATTCAGATTCAGATTCTTCAGACTACTCATTATCTGCACTGCCGTCAGTTTGTGTTACCTACTCTATAGAGTGGATGTTGGACTCGGGTGCTACATACCATATTTTTCCTAGAAGGGATTGGTTCTCCAGCTTTCAGGAGTTGAAAAAAGAGGATTTCATGCTCATGGGTAATGATCATGAATGTCCTATTGGTGGTATCGGTACCATTCAGATTAGAATGAGTGACGGAGTGATTCGGGAGTTGGTTAGAGTGAGGTTCGTTCCTCAGTTGAAGAAGAACATCATTTCACTTGGAGGTTTGGAGGCAGCAGGCTATAGGGTGACCTTGGCGGATGCACGCTTGAAGGTTACATTTGGGTCCATGGTTGTGATAAAGACCGTCAGAATGAGTAACTTATACTATTTGCTTGGGAGCACGGTGATTGATAGAGCTCTGACGACTTCATTGGATTTGGCTAGATTGTGGCGTAGTTTGGTGCTGGGGTATTTGATTGGTGATGCCGTGCATAGGTTGTTAAGGAGTACTTTGACCTGCAGATGGAAGTCCTTTAAGCACATTGGGATGAGCAAGACCGTGGTGGAGTTTGACACTTCTATCCATCGAGCGAGGGGTCTTTTAGAAGGTGTTCAATCAGGCATTTGGGAGCCTTCCAAGGAGGCATCATTGGAAGGTAATCGTTTTGTAGTTTCCGCAGTTGGTGATTGTTCTAAGCATTATTGGGTCGTGACCAGTTCCCATTAGTGTAAAGTCCTAGAAGTCAACAACAATTGGAAGAAGTGTATTGGCAGAAAGGTAACTCGTTGTTCTAGCTTTGGTAGGGGTCCTTTCTTGCGTTTGTGCCGAGCTCATGGTAACTTGAAACACTTCATTGATGTGGAGACTTTGGGGCGACGAGATGAGATGACAGTTTCGATGGGTCGTTCCTTTCTAGAGGAGGATCGGCGTTGGTTGTCGAGCATTGGTTCTGGTTATGGAGTTTCGACATATTCAGATCATCTTAGTCATAGTCGCCAACAGCCGCATTAGGAGTTATTGGATCTGGTGGAACTGTTTCAGATTTTGGTTAGCGTCGGATATTTGGTTACCCAGCATTTGGTCACATCGAGGATGTGAGATTTGATCCGATTGCGCGTTTGGGATTCGGAGGCTCGTTTGATTATTGTTTGGGAACTNGCAGGAATGTCACTTTTGACTCTCAGCAGGTGAAGAGTGTTGATCAGGTTATTTGGACATCGCAGCAGGTGGAGGGTGATGCTACTTCACGTTGGGTGGAACTTATTCCACATACTCCAGATCATACTGCGTTTGGGATTCCAACTGAGGTAGCACAGGTTGGGGATCATTTGATTTCGGATGCAGATGATGGATTGGTTTTAGATTCGGTTGTAGCTGGTGCCTGGTGGACATGATTTGGATACAGCCATTGGTTCACCTTAGATGGAGGTGTTTGATTTGTATCAGTTTGGGGCCGCTATCAGTTGCAGATCCGTTGGCGATATTGGGGAAGAGTTACAGACTTTTCTATTTGATTGAGGGCCTTTGGAGACCGTTTGGGTGAACTACATAAATGCTTGATTCATTGGGCAAGAGGATACATCGGCAATCTTTATGATGCATCCAATTTAGTGAGTAGATACCGACGTTTGGATGAGTGTTCGCACTCCCGTTTGGGTCTCGACTTGTTGAGGATTGAGAAGTAGCAAGTGAGTCATTTTGCTTGGTTGGTGTCGGTTCAGTTTTGGTAGAAACTTCGTCGAGGTGGAGAATTGAAGAAACTGCGAGAAGTTTGGTGAAGAACATGTGTTGGAAGAGCTCAGTGTTCTGTTTGGGAGCTGTGCGGTCGACCGTGGTGCAAGGCCGGTCGACCGTGATCGTGCACGGATCCAGGATTTGTGCCTGGACTTGGCGCGGTCGACCGCCAGACCCTGTAGGCGATTTATGGTCTCTGTCATTGGATCGCAGTCGACCGCGAGAAAGCCCAGTTTTAATTTCTTGTTCTTATTTGGTTTTGGTGTTCGTATAAATACCAATACACGTTCTAGGGTTTCTTAAAGGCAAGAGTTTGGGATATTTGGAGCACAGAAAAGAGGTATTTTCTGAGCTATTTGATTAGGGTTTATTTGGAAAGATTAAGAGCTTTGTTGGTGAGATTAGTTTGTTCATTCGAGTGATTTGTAATCTCAAGTTGTACTCTTCTTCTCTATTAGTGAAAACCCCATCCCCTTCTTGCCCTCAAGTTGTACTCTTCTTCTCTATTAGTGAAAACCCCATCCCCTTCTTGCCCCGTGGACGTAGGTAATTGCCGAACCACGTTAAAATTGGTGTTTTATGTGTGCATTGATTTTGGTTGGTTTTGGCCCTCGTTGACCGGCAATTGATTTGGTTCCTCGACACGGTTTTCAACAACAATTGGTATTTTGCCCAACATGGTCTACAATGAGTATTCGCACTCTATGAGGTCACTCCATAAACCGTTACATCAAACCAAAGTTTAGTATATTGTATACGTGGACAACAATACAAACACTCAAAAAGAAAAGAAAAAACTGAATCCCACATGAACTACTTACAGCCCAACAATTTAGAAAAAAATAAGATTAATTAAATACATGAAACAGTTTCACAATATTAGTTTATTAATGTAATGAACTAACATGTTATAATATATGAAGTACTACAAAACAATCAATTTTTTTTAGAAATTATACAGAATACCCTCAAAAGTTTAAAATTACACAAAATATTTTGACATTTCAAATTTTAAAATAATAAACATGGAATCTAAAAAATAATAACAGTCCCGGAAGAATTTAAAATCAACAATTAACGCCCTCAATGTTTCAAAAATTATAGAAACACTCTCAATAGTTAAAAATAAAAAAACACTCAAAAATTTTAAAATTTCAAAACTTGCAAACAACAAAGATGAATTCAAGAGATTATTACTAGGCACATGAAAATTTAAAATGTGTAAAAAATAACCTCAATATTATAAAAATGGTAATTTTTTTTTCAAAAGTTAAAAATCACAAAAAACGTAAGATTTTAAAACTTACAATAAGCACATATCAAATCTATAAATTATCAGCAGATCGTTGAAACTTTAAATTTTACAAAAAACAATCCAATATTGTAATACTTGTAAAAAACACCCTAAAAAATTTAGAGTTGCAAGGAATAAAAGATACTATTTTTTGAATATTTTATAGAACAATTTATTTTTTTAACAAATTAGGAATATTTAGAAGGGATTTTCGTGAACTTTTTTTGTACTTTTATATGCTTATGTGGACATATAAAAGTGTACTAAAGTTAGCATTAATCTTTAATTTATGATTTTTTTAAAAAAATACATCAAAGAATAGGAACGAACTCCATATTCTCTTTTATGTTGTTTTATCTTACTTTTAACCAATCATCTTATCTTATTATCTTTAATTATTCATCTTCCTTTTATAACAATATTTTAAAAATATTTTTCACTTTTGTAACACTATTATCTCTCAAGTTAAACGTGATTTCATGTCAGTCCAAATAACATAATAATTCAAATTGGATTCAAATTTTTTTTGTTTTCTGTCAATTCAATTGTCAACATGAAATTTAAATTGAGTATAGCTCATTTAAATGAACATGAAAAAACAATCATAATGCCAAATGTTAGAGACATAAGTGAGCAAAAAAACATAGATATTAACGTTAAGTTATAAGAAAAATACATCGAGCAATGATCTAATGAACCCACAAGCTACAGATGTCCAATAAAATCCAAGCTAAGACGGAATAATAATTTCCCGTTACTCATAGTTTCACTTGACCCAAAACTATATATATTTCAATCAAGATAATAAACTATAGGAAATTATTTTATTGTTAAAAATGTACTTCCCTAACATCTCTGTGGAACCACCGTCCCAATATTTGATCAATTCCCCTCTCATCACGAAGTCCAACCGCGAATCTGAGAAAACACAGCTCACAGCCCACGGATCGCGATCCGCGTGCTTCCACTCCCCTCTAATTTAACGACCCCCGTATTTCTTCACCCCCTCATCCCAAAATTGAAAAACCCCTAAATCCCCTCTCAATTCAAAACCCTAAACCTCGCAAGTCCACCGGCGGCAAGGCCCCAAGGAAGCAGCTAGCCACCAAGGCCGCCCGCAAGTCCGCTCCGGCGACCGGCGGCGTCAAGAAGCCCCACCGGTTCCGCCCCGGCACCGTCGCTCTCAGGGAGATCCGGAAGTACCAGAAGAGCACTGAGCTCTTGATCCGCAAGCTCCCGTTCCAGCGTTTGGTCCGCGAGATCGCCCAGGATTTCAAGACCGATCTCAGGTTCCAGAGCTCCGCCGTCGCCGCTCTTCAGGAGGCGGCCGAGGCTTACCTCGTCGGGCTGTTCGAGGACACCAATCTTTGCGCGATTCATGCGAAGAGGGTGACGATCATGCCGAAGGACATCCAGCTCGCGAGGAGGATTCGTGGTGAGAGGGCTTGATGGGCGTTGGGCTTGTGTTTAGGCGTTTTATGTTTTGCGCTCTTAGGTTTAAAATTTGGTAGGCTTGGTGTTATCTGGTGTTGTCGTTGGTGATTGTGTAAAAATGCTGTGTTTGAAATATATGATGAAATGCTAGCTTAATTCTCAGTTTGTTTCCCATTTTTAGTAATGCCAGCTAAATTTCCAGTGTTTGTCTAGTAGTTGACGATTTAGGTGTTTCTTGTGATTAATCGACTCATTTGCTCTGCTATTTTCTGTTGCGGGTTTATTGTGTTGATCCCTCTATTATTTTCTTGTGATTTAGTAAGAGATTCCAATTTGAACTGTTAGATTCTCTATTCAATCAGTCAAAAAATGTTCGATCTGTTAATTTATCATTGTTCATCTAAATTTTAACCGGGATTGACCCAAAGTTTCTAGCCATGTAACTGAATCATAGTGCCTTCTGCAATCTTTGTGTGTGCAATTTGCTTAATTTCTAACTTCTCTAAATTCCGATGATGTCATGATCATGTGATATTAATAACGGTTGTCTTCTTAAACTTTAGTTTGCTTTCTGATTATTTCCTATTTAGTTGAAGATTTATTCGTTCGGTTGGTTTGTGATGGATCCACTGATTTTTTATGCCCCCGAAAACCACTAGTTTGCGAGTCAAGTAAACAGATCTTATTCATCTTACACTAAATTTTTTTCACATCACTGACGCAACGATGACTGAGAACCACAAACATTTCACCGCTATCACATACAAGATCTTCTAAATGTTTTCGCTGCTGCATCAGAACCACCACCAAACAACCCCTTCTGCAGCACCCAACCCTCAATCATGGCCTGTGAACTCCTCCCCTGGTCCGCCCCCCCCCCCCGCCGACCACCACGTGCGTCAACCCCCTCCACCCCTGGACGTGCCCGGCAACCTCCCCGTCCACCCTCCAAACACTCCTCTCCTCTTCAAGAAAGCCCTCCAACCCCTCCCACTCCATCTCCTTCATCCATGCCTCCGTCGACACCACCCCGTCTCTCAAATCAAACACACCCTGGTACAGCAAAACCCTACTCCTCTTCACTATCTCTTCCACCATGAACTTGGCGCTCTTCATCACGTCTTCGTGCAGCGCTTCGCTTACCGTCTCGCTGCATTCCTCCCATCTCAACCCTTCCTTCGCCCCGAGCGCCTCCTGAATCTCCCTCTGGTTCATCAGCGTTGCTACAATTTCGGTCTGGTAAGGTTTCTTCCTTCTCAGATCGTATAACGTGGCGAGCCCCGTTATGTTCTCGAGCTTACGGAGTACTTTGTTTCTTGCATCTGTGGCAGCTGACCAATTTCTCTCATTGACGAGGCGAATAGCCTCGTCCTGCAGTTCTTCCACGTCTTTCTTTTGTCGCTCGCTGATCAAACCTGAAAAATACGCAGAGTCAGCATGCGTGGCGACCTGGGCCGCCGGATGAGTGAGCCCGTTGCCGATAGCAACGCCCTGTAAATTTATCCTTTTCTTCGCAGCAAGCAACTCGTTGCGTTTCAGGATGTAATAGCCTAAAGCAGGCACATACTTGCCCGCATAACTCTCGCCGGTGACGTAGAACGGGCGGGATCGAATCGAGGGGTCGGAAGAGAGGAAGTTGTTCAGAGCAAATATGAGGTGATTGGCGACGGTGATTGGTTGCGGGGGATGTCGGAGGGGAGGAGGCGACGCGAAGCCGGTGGCGCGATGGGGTTGTCGATGATTAGGAGGCCGAAGAGGCGGTTCCAGGAGAAGGGGTTGGGGTGAGGGAGGGGCGAGGAAGGGTCCGAGCTCGAAGAAGTTGCCGAGCATCGAGGAGCAGCCGGGGCCGCCTTGGAGCCAGAGGAGGAGGGGGGTTTGAGGGAGAGGGGAGGTTGGGGTCTGAGCTTCGTAGAAAGTGAAGAAGAGGGAAGAGTTGGAGGTTGGGTCGATGGGGAGATAGCCTGATCTCGTGGGGAGAGCTTGGGATGGGAAGGAGGAGGATTGGATTCTGGGGGAGAAGAGGAGGAGGAGGAGGATGATGAAGAGGGGGATGAGCGGAGTCATTGTGAGAAAATTTTGGTGGTGGGGGGGATTGGTTGATTGATGTCGCGTTGAAGCTTTGGATGAAGTCTGTTGAGGGTATTGACTTCGTCTTGTTCATTTGGGAGGTAGCGTAGAGCGTGATGTTTTGGAGGGAAATGTTGTATGTCATGTTGTGGGCACCGCTTTTGTGAGTGATGCTGCTCAGTTAGTCATAACCCGAATAAAGAAAGTTTGTTCTTGAATTATTTTTGTCTCAACACATCTTTAATTCAGTAAATAAGAATTATTATGTACGAATTAAAAAATGGTTTTTACCTGAGCTGAGCAAATTTCGTCATCTCTAACACTAATGTTTGGATGGAGGGTAATGAGGGACAGGGGAAGGGGAAAAGAGAGTTGCTTTGTTTGGTAGTTTTTTTTAAAAGAAAAAAGTTTCAGTTTTGTTCCCTTCAAATTGGGGGTAGAGAAGGGAAATGAAAGGAAAGTAAAATTTGATAATGAAAGAGGCATCTTAACCATTTATCATAATGAATCAATTGTTAAAATTCATTTACTTCCATTTCTCTTACATGATAATTTAAGTTCACATTCATTCTACTTACAAAACTTCAAACAAGATATTATATTTTTCATCTTATTCCTTACATTTCTTTTCTCTAGCTTACTTGTGAACTCCCAAACATAGCACGAGAGAAAGCAGACTTTCTGCACCAAATCAAATATAATGATCCGTTATAGTACGGTTCGATTTAGTTCTATATCATGCAGAGTTTAGCTGAGCTTGGCTTATGGTGTTGATTTTTCTCTCAACGGCGTGACACGTTAGGTCCCTACATTCACTTTGCCCGAGGGAAGAGGCGGCGTCAGCCGGCATCATGTTTGCGGAGGGCCTGACGATGCTTGTCTGTGGCGTTAGCCTTTTGGTTTCTTCTTTGTGGACCTTTTGATGAGCTCACGTTTCAAGCCCCCATCTACTGGATAGGATTCGCAATTGCTGTGATGACAAATCTTCGTACTTTTTACGCTTTTTCCTCAGTTGAGTAAAACTAAAAATTAGAATTGGGATAATTTATAGGACAATTTTTATAGTGTTAATCTATTAAAACTGAAATTAGAATAAAATTATACAGTGTTAGTCAATAAAAACTAAATAAAAAGCAGAACTGATGAGATAACTTTAAAAATGTATCCCACTTTTGTGAAATTTATATAAAAAAGAGAGAGTTCTAGTCTCTCATATTGTCCAAAGTTTTAACCTAGAAATACTTGGTAAAAAACTAGCACTACATGATAAAAAAATAGAACTTAATTTCTCATTTACTTTTTTATTTTTCATATTTCACTTCTCCATCATTTTCAAGCCGCACCATAAAATTAGATCACATCTCTTCTTACGGTTCCCTTCTATTTATTGTTATTTTTTATTTTTATTAAATATTTGAATTGTATAATTATTTTAAAATTAAAAATTACAAAATTTATATTTTATTAAAAATTAATTAAAAAAGAGAGATGATGGAATGATGTCTGGTAGATCAAAAAAGAAAGAGAGAAAAAAAGGAAAAACTATGTTTTTAAATTTATATTCCAATAATAATTCCAAAAAAATAAATAAGTTACAAATTATTGTTATTATAATAATATCTTATAGTCTATCTAATAGTTCTTCAAGATTAATTAACAGTAAAGTAAAGAGTTAATAATAATAATAATAATAAGTTTTAAAATGTACAAATAGTAGTCTTATCATCAAAATATATGACCTATATGATTATTGATTTCTGAAAATTATCCTTAATTATACTAACAAATGTCCCACTAAAATATTATGTTTTAAAAAATTACTCCCAATTATTCCACTAAAATATCCCACATTAAAAAAATTATCCCATATTAAAAATTGTTCCACTTCTATAAAAAATATTCTAGTTGACTAACACCCCCTTAGATTCTTAGGGTCTGTTTGGCTCTTTTCATGTAATTGGTGGGATTGCAACAATAATACGGGATTGAGTGGTCCATCTCAACTTGATAGCTTCAGGAAACACCCCCAAAACATCTTCTCATGTTGGGAATTAACAAGAGTCTATCGGCTCAGCTTTTATCATGAGACATCAGATCCCACTTTACCTAAACAAACACTTTTTTTAATGCAATAATGTAGCCCCCCCTCCCCCAACAACCCCTTATGACCTGTTTGGTAGGCGAGAATGAGTGGGAATGGAAAACTCATTCCCACTTCTCATTCATGTGTACAAAACATGACATCTTTTTGGAAGCTAGAATGCATAATCTCATTTCTCCTCCATTTTCACTTTTTGTGTGAATAAGCATTCTCAATAAGTTGATAGGAAATAAGCACTCCCACTTAGGTGGGAATGAAAGAATTTAATTTAAATATCAAATTTATCATTATTACTTAATAATTACTCATGCTAAAAATAATTTTTTATTCCCACTTTATTTTCTAATCACACCTAAACGTGAGAATGTAAATGATCATTCTATTCCTACGCTCATTCCACTCCATTTTTTTTTCATTTCATTCTCAATTGATCAGATTCTCGCATATTATAGAAGATCAGGCCAATAGAAAAATTACTTATCCAATATAGGTTTTGCTTAGATCTTACTTGTCTAACCTGTGTCAGCGTGGCCCAAGCAAGACTTAAAAAAGAAAGAAGAAAAAAAGGCTTAAGGAAGGAAAAAGACTTGAGTCACGAAAGCTGTGTCGCAACCTAAAAAACACTTTGTAAAATATTAAGCTGGAAAACAATTTTTTCCGCAAGTAATAGTAACTAACTAAATTGTTTAAAAGAGAAAAGATCATGGGCATGCGGCGTGTTTCATTCAGGCACTCTATTATCGTACATGCAAGTCTCAATACTTCAACATAAGCCCAGAAATCCAACTTAGTTAACACACAAACTTGAGTTCTTGACCAAGAGATTGAACCTTTTGATTTGCTCGGAAAGTAAAACTTTAAGAAGATAGAAATTAAATAAATATTTACGAAAAAGATAGCAAACAATTTCATCACATCTACTGATTTTTCCTTAGAAAATAACATTCAAAAGGCATTAAAATCTCAAACTGAAGTTGAAACTTACACAAATTATTCAGTAAATGTTCAACTACAAGCACAGACCAGGCTGATATAGAATCAATAATATTCTTGTGTAAAATGGAATCACATTGCAAGTCAAACTTTCACCGGACCCAGTAATACTAATAACTCATTTGCGATATTCAGCACAGAGAAAGGGGGAAAAAAAGAAAAGAAAAAGAAAAAGAAAAAGAAAAAAAAACTTACAGTTTCATCTTCCAAAATAGAAAGATTCCTGAGTTCACGCGCTTGAGCTTGCTACTGCTGGCTGTTCTTTTTTAGGTTCAAAAGGTATGGGTTTGGTTGGGGCAGGCAATCGACCAATGCTATCGACCTTGTCCTGCTGCTTTGGTGGAGGTCGAGCTGGTTTTGGTAGCAATCGCCGCTTCTTTGCGAACCACTCGGGTTTAATCAATGCTCGGAGACCCAGTTTGTTGTAGAACACTTTTCTCACTGAGCCACCTAAGGCTTCAACAGCTTCTTTTGCCCTTACTGTAACCCGAGATACCTGTACAATAGAAAATATAAATGTTTTTTTATTTAGATATGTTCTTAGAATAAGATTGTTTTTCAAGTATTTTTGCCATTACATAAAGAAATTCTTTTCCTCAATTTAGCTCTATTAAGGGCCACTTTCAAAGTATTGAATTAATAACTAGCATAAGCTTTTGTGCTGCCTCAATTCAGGTATTTCATCAATCTTATCGATAGTGGATAACGTTGCCTAACAGTAATGCATCGCTAAGGCTATTTGGAGCTATTACGGCAAAATAACGGTAAAAAGCGCAAAGTCAAATGACGGTCTAATTTAGATATATATAAATATTCAAAAAAAAATTAGAAAATCTAAAAATGCATATTTGATGATTTAAAGAGATCATAAACATGAAATAGACATGTAACAATCACATAATATAAAAGACGACTGGAGGAGGAGTCATAGTCGTCGTCTTTGAGAAGTGAGAAGATGAGCTAAGCGGTGAGAGGAATGCAGGAGGAGCTCACGACGGGAGGAAGTGCCGGAAGCTGTGGGAGGCGGCAAGAATATGCCAAAAATTGCGAGATGCAGTGGGATATAGTGGTTGCGTGTCGGGTTTAATTTTTAAAAAATAAACCTCAAACCGCTTTTAAATAGCAATCAAAAAGCGGGTTTTGCCCGCGATTCACTATTATAACGCGTTATTAGCCGCTTTTGCGAACGGAAAGCGCATATTCCGCAATATGTCGCCGCTATTGGGCGATAGCGTGGTGGTAAGGGACCGCTAACGCTATTTGCGCCCCTATTGTAGCGTTATTTACCGCTATTTATAACAGTGTATTTCATGGTCTACAAAGTTCTAGTTGTGCCTTTTACTATTAACATACTGAACCTCCAGAATATCAGCAGTTGTCGAAGACCCTTGCAATCATAGAATGACCTGACATGATTTTCATCAGTCTCATTCCTAATGCCTGCTCTCAAATATATATATTAATATAATATATATATATAATAAATATTATATATATATATATAATTATAATATATTATACTAATCTGGTGTGTGTTTGTAGCTGCCGCGCGCGCGCAGGGGGGCCGCCACTATATCTATATCCTAAAATTTAAAGCTAACCACTAACCTCTTTTCCATCCAATTTGTTCCATATCGTCTGATACTTTATATGATTCAACCATTGTTCATATCTTATTGTTTAAGGCCTCTCGCTTTTCACAAGATTTCCTAGAAGTCACCTATTATTTTCCATAAAGACTACTAGCCCCTCTCATCACGTTAATAGCATCCCCCACCCCCACCCCCACCCCCACCACCAAAAAAAAAAACCAAAATAAAAAGAACAAAATAAAAATAAATAAACAATACTCTATATTACATAGTTCTGAACCTGTGAAAAATATCCTGTTCAACCTTACATGATAGGTGATTGTTGACTGTAGTCATGGTTACCATCTCTCTTCGTGTTTCCTGTTTATCCATATTAAACTTAACCCGCCACGTCCAAAAGTAAATATATAAATCATCTTAATTGATTCAATCCGAGTTCACAAGGGAAAAAGACACTGACGTTATAACCAAAAACTTATAAAGCTGGATTTGAATTAAAAAAATTACAAGAATAGACTCCTCCAATGTAAAGGAAATTTTCTGCAGTAGTGCTGATGAAATTGATGTTGTAAATCATGGTTAATATGTCTTGTGAAACATGCAAATAAATCATGTACAAGGTATCAAAGCAAGATGATAAGCTACACACTCAAACAAACTATATGAAAATGGATCAGGATGGCATGACACCTCCGAACTATAAGCAGGCCTGGAAGTAGTGCATTTAAAATATTGTTATTTATATTTGAAATATGAGCAAAAGAAAGACACCGCAATGCAATAGAAGAGTCTCAATGTTCTCTACAATGCATGGTATGCACCCTTTATCGCAAAAGCAAAACTCCTATTTGGCTCTCCAAAGACTCCAATATAGGATAGTCTAACAGTTGTGCATCCTAAAATGTTTTTAGGGCTTTTGGAATGTTGATGTGAATGATAATATTTTTTTTCTCTGTTTTACTGATTTTAAGGCATCAACGATAGCTGTTGAGAAAAGTTACCTCAATATGAATCGGCCACTTAATTTGATCAGCACCACGACCCATCAGTCTAACACCATCTTTTATTTGCTTCCCTACAGCACTTGTGTCCTAAGGATTCCACAGTGATGAAATTAGTTGAGCTGTCGACATTTTTCTTAAAAAGTTTAAATTCAATAATGATTGGGTACCTTGAGGACTTTCATTGTGATAAGCTCCGATGAGTCAATATGTCCTGCATTTATCAGCTTTGCGATTTTTCCCAATCCAACAGGCTGTTGCGAAAAGAAATAGAATATTATTTCAGCATAAAATACTTAAATTACAGATCTTCTTTGTTCGTTGTATACAGACTAATAACAAGTAGGAAAAAAACTTACAGAGACAGGTTTCCAACAACAATAGAACAGATAGGGGAGCTTATTTAGCAAGTATAAACCTTAAACCTAAATGGAAATACAGCTCATAACTGGAACAAATTTGGAAATTTACTGACAATATAACTGGTATTAGATGTACTTAGGCTCAGGAACTACCAACCCAATACCAACCACTCAGAAGGGCCCTTTTGCTAAGGCTCAGATCTTAAACCTTGCAAATGTTTAGACAGTTGGAGGGACAAAAACTCCAAAAGTAGAACTTTACCAAATGAAAGCAGGTAATATGAAAATAACTACAAGAATTCGTTAGAACTTAGATAACAATGAGAATTTGTTAATAATCAGACCAGTTCCTGTTCTGGCTATATTCAGGTGGTATTAATATAGTAACAAGAACCCAAAATGTCATTTGCTTAAAAAAATAACCATAGCCCTATATACGGAAGCAGACCTCCGTGAATAATCTCAACATAGATATTAGCAAATGGAATCACCAGCACAGGCAGATGGACAGAGCGGTGATCCTCGATGCTTCCAAAATTTCGCACCATGCCCATGCCAGTCATTGGATTGTAAGGCCATGGCTTGAGAAGTGGGAGGAGATTACTCCTCATACTGATTCGTGAGCAGGTGAGGAAACTAGCAAAAACTTACATTTTTTATCTATCTCTTTTCTCTTTCATTTTTTTTTCTTTTTGCATATGAACACCCTTTCTGATTGCGAAAAAAGATTTGAAAAGGCGATTTAAGAGAGAAGTAAACTAGAAACATTTTATTAAAATAATAGTTCAGTGGGCCATAAAGATAGTTAAAGATGGGGGATAGATAGCGGACTCATTTGGCGATGAGTTGGGACACTAACTAGGAACTCATTCAATCTTCAACCATAGAAGACTCTTCTCTGCCCGAGCATGAAGCAATTACAAAAGGTAGCAGACTAAGTTTCTCATCCTTAGTGGAATCATGTGGAATTTCTTCCCGCCAAGTAAAAACATATTTAATGTTATTAAGAACAAAACAACAGTTTTTACCATCACTTTTCACATTTATATCAAATTACCGAGGTCTGCCCCCATAATATATAATATGCATCCATAGGCAACAAAATTGCAAACCCAACTTCATGCAATTTTCAATTGGAGATTTATCCACGAAAGAGCCTTTTGACAACTAGGCTTATTCTTCTTTTTTGATGGCAACCATAAATTACATGACTACTTCTCCCATAGTAATAATAAATTTAAAATTTTCAGTCAGAACGTTATGTCTTCATTTTTTTTAAAACGGTTTTGTCTTTTCCTACAAAAGGACTAAGGAAAAAAATGTATTTCATTGATGTGTTTTTTTTGATATTTTAAATTTCTCCTTTGCCTATTTGCTCTTTCTAGTGTATAACATGATGTAATGCAATCTCACTAAAAAATTGAACTTTTTACCTAGTTAAGTACATACCAAATAGTTTCATTATCCATACAATTTAAAGATTCTAAGCTCAAATAATTGGAAAACAATATGGTGTAATCGTGAACACTTTGATATAGTTTTGCTTAGGTGATGAAAATTTTGAATCGAGTGTTTACGCTTAATAAAGAGGAATGTTTCTCGTCCATTCAGGACCGTAGCCAGAAAATTTATTAGATTAGGCACTAACTTTGAAACATAATTTTTAAAACTTGAATATTTCATTGCATAGAGAAAGTACATTTTGATTTTTAATAGATGAGAAAATATGTAAAACAGAAAATTTTAAACCCTACATATATAGAACTGGACACTATCTAAGTGTATTAGAATTGAATGTATGACTTAATTAAGGTGGATGCTAAAACTTTAGCTTAACCAAAATTTAAAATTTTGGGTTAGGCAGCAAAATAAAAGACTGCATAGGGCGAGAGATGTAATATATGTCAAATTATAGATACATAAGCTTAATGTAAGCATAAGTTTCTCAAAGTTCAGGTTAAGCATAAGTTTCTCAAAGTTCAGGTCAGGACTTGCCCAACCTGAACTGAGTGTGGCTCTGCCACTGCATCCATTTCATCTTTCATTTCTAGGGAATGAGCTAATTTGTAACTCTTGTTCTTGCCCAACCTAAAGCACATCTTTTTAATTTTGTAGCATTTATCAAATAACACTGAATGAAGTTATTGAACAAGTTTACCATCACAGTGAGGAACATAACTTCAATGCGATCAGCCTAACGATTCCTATGCTACAAAGAACATTTCTGATGCTTCCTGTGCACAAAAGGGATCTGGAACGTCAAGTTACACGACGAAAGATATTTGGAGATTGTGTGGAGTATATTTAAGCAGTGAAAGAAACCTAAAATCAGATAAAGGAGGTAGCTGAATCAATTTTAAGTGAGACATGAGTGGCCTTTTATAAAGATAGTGTTGGTTTCAATTGGGCCTATAAGCATATCAATTATGGAATCCTAAATGTCCACTTAGATTGCTATTTTGAACCTGAATAAGTTAGCAATAGGTTCTGTCATAGATTCACAGGACTTTGTCTTGCTTGATCATGTATTAGCCTATATAAGGGCTCGATTTCCTCAAAACCAGACAGTGATTGTATTGAAAGTGTGTTAGTGGAACCTCAAGTTCTTGTATGTCCCTTCACGTGCTCTGTTCTTTATGAACAGCAAGTAAATTCCCTCGTAAAGTTATACGTATATCCATCGAATAAGTCCCAAATCCTAATTTTGTAATCTTATATCTAATATATCTATTAAGATAACTAAAAGGGACTATAAGTCTATTATTACACCCAAATATTAACTTGCTACTGAACCAAACCTCAACAACAGAATATGACAGGTCCTTTCAGCACTAGATTGCAGCCAAAGGTCGCTTAAGGTACAACCCGGTACCATTGCCAGCCATATATACATGTTTACAATGAATATCAACATATCCAATGCCACTACAAGAATCAAACTAATGATTGCACATCTCCTCTGGACATAGACATCGCAGAGGATAAAGACCTTATATGTTAGAACTAAATTCACAAAACATACGTATTGAAGATGACTCCTTCATCACAGACAAGGGAGCGATAATCGTAACTCAGACCCCTCCACATTTCAAAATCCTTCTTCTATTCCTAACACTGAAAATACTCACCAACCACGAAATCATTCAGTTAACAAAAGCAAAAAAAGTTGGCCATGCGCTAATGTGTGAGTGTTATGTAAAATACAGAAAGCACATTAACCCTAAAAACTCACCTGAAACTCAAGACTGAATCGATTCTTGAACCCTCGCTTGGGCAACCGACGCCTCAGCGGAGTCTGCCCTCCCTCAAACCCAAACTTCATCGTCCCCCTCGCTTTCTGCCCTTTGTGCCCTCGGCCAGCGGTCTTCCCCTTGCCCGATCCAATACCTCGACCTTTCCTAGTCTTCTTCTTCCTGGCTCCCTTGTTATCTCTCAGATCGTTCAGGCTCAGGATGCTCATCTTGGGCAACGACCTCATCGCCATTGAACTGTAGGGGGATCTAGAGATGGAATTGGGAAAGGATGAAGGTTGAGGAGCTAGGGTTTTGATGAGGGGGAGGAGAGAGGGAGCTAGGGTTTTGGTGATGGAGGGAGCGTGGGGGAGAGAGAGCTTGGAGAGGAGAGAGAGGCGGCGAAACATTTTTGGAGAGGCGGCGAAACATTTTTGGAGGCGGGGGGGCATTCGAAGTTGAGGGGAAGAAGGGGGGGTTTATTGATGGAGGTTTACTGGTGGTGTTCGGGGTTTGGTTATGTCAATATTTACCTTTTCCCCCATTTCGTGGGATGTTTTTGGGGGTAAATTGAAAGAAAATGTTACCTCCAAAAAAAAGTTTCCCCACTATTTTTTGACCCTACTTTATATTTAAACTAGTTTTTGATGGACCCGATGCTTATGCATGATACAATATCTCTTTTTAAGTAATAAAAATGTGATATTTGATGATTAATGCTAAAATAATTAGGTCATAAAATCCGAAGTTTATTGTATCATATGTAGGCAACAAATATTGAATAATTTCTAAGATGTAAAATTCAAATCTTAGAAGAGATATCAGTTATATGCATTTATGTGTGACTGCACCGGTCCAAAAAATGTTAAGTATGCAAAATTACGAAATTCCACTAGAAATAGCAAATGGTGAAATGTGAACATTAATTAAAAATTCGGTTCGGGTACTAGATAATTCTAATTCCACTAGCAAAAGGAGGGATTTTTTAAATAATATCAATAGATAGATAGATATTAGATACTAGATAATTCTAAGTATTGTTTTGGACTTTTTCAATAAAAAAATTCTAATCCTAATTATTTTCAAGCACTTCTCGGTACTAATTATATAAACGACCAGAGTCCAAATTTATATATTAGAATAGTTCTCTTGATAGTTGAGTAGAGAAATAAAAATTGCAATCGACCTTGGAGGAGTTTTTCATGCTTGATGTTTTTCTTAATTAGTATTTGAGAGTTATGTATTGAAACTAGGTCATGTTTGAATATGAATTTATAACGATCAACCATGTGAGGTTTACTATAGTGAAAAGAACTTTGAAATGATAAAGATCAAATTCAAATTTTATTGTAAAATATGTTTGAAGCATAACTCAAAAGGGTACCACTGCATGAAATAACTTAGTTTTGGCCTGATAAAACTTCATCAATCTGTAAAGGTGTATTTGTTTTATATGAAAATTTTAATAGTTCTGTTGGATTAGAAAATTCATATCGAAAATATCTAATATATTGACATTTTGTTCAACTGTATTCCAAGTTGTGTTCCGTTTTATCAAGTGTATTTTGATGTCAAGCAATTAAAAGATGAGTCTGGAGAGTTTCGTTGCCTTAAATCCATGTGAGATCTGTATAGATAACGTCCACACGATAAACGCATAATTTATGTGTTTAGACATTTTTTTAATTACAAATTTGATTATTGTCGACTCACTTTGATATGGATTGTTTTAAAGAAGTAGGTGTGCGGTGTGGTTCTTGAAGAAATAATGAGAATAATGAAGTAAGTAGACATTTAGAGCCGTCCTTTTGGCGATGTTTAGATCCATCTGTGGGCTTCTTTTGGCGACAGCAGAGCTCACCAATTCCAGATGGAATATGCAGTTCTCAGAGCAGCTCCAACCGTGCTGCATTTCGTCAAAATGCAGCCCGATTGAAGTCCAACCAAACTCCAATTTTTGGAGTTCGGCTGCAAAAACCAAACATGGGCTACATATTTGGAGTTTTTTCCTCCAAATATGTAGCCCCTCCATTTCACTATTCCCCCTAATAAATTTTCTATTTTACCCTTCTAACTATTTTTATATATTTTTATTTTATATTTTTTATATTTTTAAATCCATTTAAAGTATTATAAAAGCAATCAATTGATAATATAAATGGAGCTTCATACAAAGGGGTGGTTTGAGTGCCCCCCACTTAAAAGCATATTCCAGAGAATATTATTTGGGGAGGCTGCATTTTGCAGCCTCCCCATTGGAGTTGCTCTCAGGGGCACACATATGCATACTGGCTAGATCAACAGTCTATAATCTATAATTATGTTTAAAAAAAACAAAAGAACTGGCCAAATCTAAACACATTTGATTAAGGAATTTTTTCACATTTGAAGTCCTGCACAACTTTGACATCAAGCAAGGGAATGAAATTCTTTAATTCTGAGTAAAATTATTGAGATCACTCAATTTAAACACTCCACAAACACATTACTCCACCATCCTTGCAGGGCATAGAGAAGAGGCAAAAAAGGGAGGGGGGAAAAACTTTAGTCGTTTTGTTTTAAAAGTAACGATTTTGAAATAGGGTAGTACTGCATTTGATTATTTTTTTAAGCATACGTGGACGGTGTAATTTGGATCCCGATCACAAAATACACTGTTATAACTCGTTTGAATATGAGGATTTTTTAAGGGGACAGGTGCTTCCTCGTTAAAAACTTTACAACCAACACCCGTACAGATGTTATCAATTCGGAAATTACAATCGTCGGTATACAATAGAACTAAGAAAAGGTAGAAAATCCTCCAACCACGCAGTAGCGTCCTGAATTATCAACGCTTGTTGAGCTAGCCAATAAGCAGCACGATCTCCATCTCTCTTTACGTGAGAGTAAAGACAACTTCGGAAGCCTCGGAATCATAAATTTGGACTTAGTCCCAAAAAGAAAATGATAGGAGCACACCCCCAACCACAATTCTAACCATACCCCCTCTCTTTCTTGCTACAACGCACCGGGCTCCATATGGGTTGTTAAAAATTTTAGAAGCTCATGTGCGGTCCAGTGCACCGTAAAGAGAGAGAGAGAGAGAGAGAGATGATGATTGGAGTTATGGTTGGGGTGTGCCGCTAGTGCCACTCGTCCCAAAACTAGTTTTCTGGATGCCTTGAACGAGCAAGAGAGCGTCGATCGCTTTCCGCATGAAACTCTAGTTAACCCTGCTGCCCTCGCAAAAGATCAGCCCTTCTTCAAGAACAGCCAGAGTTTCCGCCCTAATCTCGGCAGTCAAAACGGTCGTTTAAAAACCCCCGTTATGACCGGATTATAGTTTTATATTAATTCTAATAAAAAATACTACCATTGAAAATTCTTCATAGTCGTATCGCGCTTGTTCTCTTGCAGCCTTGCTATTATTCCAAAGTTCAGTAGCTGAGGTGAAAGAAGTTAAAACTCCAAGTTCGTCCAACAATATCACCAAAAGAATCGGAATTAAATATGAAGATTTGGATGTGTAAATAACCAAAAGAACAACGAGCGAGCTCCCATTACAACCTACAACACAACCCAGGATCCAAGGACCCTCAAAATCTCAAGCAAGCAGATGAGTCTCAGTAGTATTCTCCTGCTCCACAACATCAAGAAACACCGGATCCACGACCACGTGACTCTCCACCTTCGCGCAAAACCTCCTCCTCATAAACAAAACCCTAGCCGTCCCCGCGATCTCCACCTCGGCGTCCAGCCTCATCTCCCTCCTCGCCACGTCAGCTAGTATGGACCCCGCGTGGTGGGCCATCTGGATTCCCGTCGAGCCTCGCCGCGGAGCCTGATGAGGCTGGCAGGAGCGGGGGGCTGAGCGCCGCGGGGAGGGGCGGAGCCGAGGTGGGAAACCGCCGGTAGGAGATGGAGAGACGGGCGGGGCGTAGAGGAATGGGGACGAGCGTTGGGGTTGGTGCACGTGAGGGTTTAGGGCGTATTAGGTCGAGGTCGAGGAGGGGGAGGTTGAGGGAGAAGGAGGAGAGGGTGATGGAGATTAGGTGGAAAGTTGGGTCTTTTGGGCGGCCGAAGAGGAGGATGAGGGCGGCGGAGGCGGAGGCAGCGCCGGCGACGGCGGAGGGCAGGTGGAATCGAGGGGACATTTTTGGGTTATTGGGGGAGCGAGAGTATGAGGGACAGGTGGAGGATAAGCGGGGAGTTCGTCTTTTGTTTTTTTGAGGGTTTTGCTTGGGAGATAGAGCATGGTCTAAAATATGTTTACCTTCAAATAAAATGAAATGTTGTATGAGCGTGAATCTGGATTAAAAATAGGGCTTTTTATTTCTAGGCCCAAATGTTTACCCATCTTTACCTATAAACCCATTTACTATTTGATGTATCCATAAACCCAAATATCTTTGGGTATTTATCTTTAAGCCCAACTTACAAAATACAATACTTGTAAGTGTGGGCCCCCCAAAATTTTTGAATTAATTCCAACTCTACCCTTTACAGTTTAATAATGTGTTCTTTATTAAGTGGGTCCCTTTAAAAATATAAAATATTAAAAATTTAGAGAGAGAGAGAGAGAGTGGAGAGAGAGAGAGAGAGAGAGCCACTGTATTCCCCTGTCCCTTTGCCAACCCGCGCGGGAGAGGAGAGAAGGGGCGGGAAATAAATCATGTTCTCTCCCTCCTTTTCTCTCTCTCCATTTCCCAATTAACTCCCTCTCCCATCCATTAATACTACATTCTTCCATTAAACCTATCAATTAATTTTCACCCACTTATCAATCCATCATTAAATTCCCAACTCCATTAATGTGTATGGTGTGATTTTAGTGGATATTCATCACTTTCTTAACAATTAAAGGTATAATTTTTCAATTTACTCATCTACCAAGTTTATTGCATTAATTCATCCTCTTATTCATGAATTATTTGACATTGTTATTCATGTAAATTAGTTAAATTTGTTATATTTGACAGTATAACAAATAAAAATCATTTAAAATTGTTATTCATGAATTCATAAAAAATAGTTAAATTTGCTATATTTGATAAAAATGTTAGTTACATTTGTTACTATTCAACCACTCATTAATTTCTCATTAATTTCTCATTTAATCTTTTAAAATTGACATGATTAGTTCACATTAATTTCTCATTATTAATCCTAAATTCATAAAAATTAGTTTCACATAAACTTTGATTAATTTCACATAATTGACATAATTTTTTTTATATTTTTAGTTAAATTTGTTAGTTACATTTGTTAGTTACATTTGTTACTATTCAACCACTCATTAAGGAAAAATTAGTTTCACATAATCTTTGATTAATTTCACATAATTCATATAAAAATTAGTTTCACATAATCTTTGATTAATTTCACATAATTCATATAATTTTTTTTTATATTTGATGAAATTTTAGTTAAATTTGATTTTATTCGATCACTTAATAATTCACATAATCTTTGATTAATTTCACATAATTTGATTTTAGTTGTAATTTTCCTTAAATTTGTTTTATTTTTAATGACAAACATAGATGGATGAAGAATTGTATTGTGCATTGACCCACTACACTTACAGTCTAACCCGCTACACTTACAGCATAACACGCTACACTTACAATATAACCCGCTACACTTACAGCATAACATGCTACACTTACAATCTAACCCGCTACACTTACAGTCTAACACGCTACACTTACAGCATAACGCGCTACACTTATAAGATAACCCGCTACACTTACAGGATAACCTGCTACATTTATAATATAACCTGCTACACTTACAGCATATTATGCTACACTTACAGTCTAACCTGCTACACTTACAGGATAACCCGCTACACTTACAACATAACACGCTACTTACAGGATAACCCGCTACACTTACAACATAACACGCTACACTTACAGAATAACCCGCTACACTTACAATCTAACCCGCTACACTTACACTCTAACCCGCTACACTTACAATCTAACCCGCTACACTTACAGCATAACACGCTACACTTATAGGATAACACTCTACACTTACAGACTAACCCGCTACACTTACAGTCAAACCCGCTACACTTACTAACCCACTACACTTACAGCCTACCCGCTACACTTACATTCTATCTTTGATTTTATTCAATCACTCATTAATTCACATAATCTTTGATTAATTTCACATAACTTGATTTTAGTTGTCTATCTTTGATGAAATTTTCCTTAAATTTGTTTTATTTTTAATGACAAAGTGTCCCAGACTCCTCTTCAAAATGATGAGTCTGTGATACTTTGGAGGGGGTATCTGTAGACGTCAAAAATGCTTACAGACATCCAAATATCACTCAAGACAAAGAGAAGGTGATAAACATCAGTATCTAAGTCATGGGAGATCATACAAGCCCAAAGGAAGCAAAAGGATCTGTGAATCAACACAAAACAATGTGAATTCACAGAACAATGCAAACTACAGCGTGTGGGCGCGGCAGCTCATGGTGCCGCGGCTACAGCGCGGCAGCTCATAGTGCCGCGGCTAAGACGCGGCAGTTCATAGTGCCGCGGCTTGGGCGCGGCAATCCATGGTGCCGCGGCTACTATAGGGGATGCTACAGCGGTTACGAGGCAGTTATGTGATGATTATGTGAAGTCTACGTGGCGGCGTATCAGAAATAGAACGTGTGCTGACGTGGACAAGCAGTTAAACCACGAAAAAGGTGGTTAAAAGTCGTGGGAGGACAGTTTCAAGCACGATGGAACGTGCTGGTAACTGCCCCTGTGGCCGCTGCAGTTCATGCTGCCGCGCCAATAGCCGCTGCAGTCCGGGATGTCGCGGTCAAAGGGATAGTCGTTGATCGGCTATTTCTTCAGTTATTGTCCAAGGAGGCTATAAATACCCCCCTATGGACATCATTGACGGGGGGCTGAGCATTTTCCAGAGAGATTAGAGCAGAGAGCCTTGAGTTTTGGTGAATTAGAGCAAGAGAGAGAGTCTTCCTTCTTCACAAACATCCTCAAGAAGCTTCTAGCGAGTCCTAGAGATCTAAGCTCAGACTTGATCTTTGGAAGAGTGAACATCTTACATCGATAAGATATTCGCTTCAAATTCTTACTTCGATAAACGAAGGAAGAATCATTAAACCCCTCACGGTTCAATCAGAATCTGTGATTTGGTGGTCCACGAGTCAAAGCGCTCCCGGCACAGGCAAAGATCCCACGAAAGCAGTGATCCAAACAACGATCCTGCGTTTATTTTCTCAAGAGTTGTAATTTTCTTTTTGTTGTGTAAAAGAGTCTTATAAAAAGGCTGTTTTCTTTGAATTTATTGTAATCGACCGAAGATATAATGAATTCCACAACGAAACCAACTTTTGACGCAAACAAGCTGGCGACCACAGTGGGAGCCAACGGTCTCGCTGCCGAGACCGTCGTGTCGCAGCCGATCAAGATTCCAGTTGAATCCATGGTCGAATACGAATTCGACCAGACCAAGTTTGAGGAATATCTCTCATCATCCTCTTCAAGATCTTCATTATCTCGCAAGTACAAGAGGATCTCACAATTGAGGAAGAGTTGCATGCCAAAGAAGGCACAAAATGAAGACTCTCGCTTGATTGTTGCTGAGAATTTCACTCGCAACACCTCTGCTCAAAATGGCTCTTATCTAATTGAAGAGTCATCGAATCAAAGCCCGACGACATTGACGAAAAGAGCTCGTCAGAGACAGCGTCAGCGTCGTGCTCGTCAAATAGCTAAGGCATTTGAACAAACCGACGGAGTTCGTTATTATGCGGACTTAGAGTCGAGGAAACAACAAGTGGTTCGCTCAATGCAACGACGAACTACTCACGTTTCTGCACAATTCACAACGGAGGAATGGACACTCATCAAAAGGGCTCGTTCGACCCTCCAAGAACGTATACAAAAACGTCGTGCAAACGTTGTTCATGCCCGTGCTCTCTTACAACAAAGACGAGAAAGGAGGAAGGAAACGGTGACCAAAGAATCACCAAAACTCCGCCAAGTTTGGATTCTGAAGTCTGGACTTATGCAAAATCAGCATTCGGAGCCCGTTAAGACTCCATACCCACAAGGGGGTGGTTCTAAACGTGCGACTCCCGACATAACCTTGGATCGCTCAAAGACAAAAATAAATTGTCTAGAGAATGCCAACAAGGTTTTACACCCCCAGAAGAAGACATATTTACCAAATGATATTGTCATACCTGGGAGGTCATATCAAACAATACGATTTTTTGTCAATCATACTGATGAATCGTATTATCAAGTTGAATTATCAGAATGTGACTGTTTCAAACGAGAAGTCATCCCACGAAAAGTCTCTGTATTATCGAAACCTAAGCCGAGACATTTCCGCAAAAGAAGAGCAGCTGTCCAAAATGATGAATTCCCTGAAGTCACCATCAACGTGGCTGATAAAAGAAAGTCTAAGCGGCATTCAAGTGACTCAAATCCCGACTTTTCCCCGAAAGGAAAAGTCAATCCAAGAATTGCTCAAAGGATGTCTCGACTCCAATTAGGAGCTATCAGACGCAGAGACTACAAGAGAATGCAAGAAGGAATGTCCTCGGAGGATGAATTCTCGGACACTTATTCTGCAATCGCTTCTGATGATACAATGTCTAGCACAGGACAAATCAGAGAAGTATTCACAATCACTGCTGATCAGTTCACTCAAATACTTCAGGAAGCTCTAGCCAAACAACGTGAAGAAATTAGAGCTGAAGTGAAGACAGAAATGAAGTTGGCTATCCAACAAATGAGAGAACTGTTAACTCAACAGCCTCAACCTCCTGAGTCCAATCAGCGAATTGAATCCAGCCACCACACTCGGAATGTTGTAGATGACAGTGATCCAGAGGTAGATGAAGTCATTGTGGCTGATACACCTCCCAATGGCAATAACGCTGGGGGTGTTTTAATGGATCCTCTCAATAACGATATTGGGGGTGGTTCAATAGCACCTCTCACTGGGGGTGGTCCAATTATCTTTACTCGACATCATTCAGAAAGAAATGAAGACGATGACGGGAAAATGCAAAAGCTTGAAGACAAAATCAATGCTTTGATGACAGCTCAAGAAGTTAAGAAGACGGGTATTCCATGTCCTTATCCGAGGGAATGGGATTCAATCCCATACCCGACCAAATTCAATCTGATTAACTTCACACCGTTTGAAGGGAAGAGTTCGCCGATTCAACACTTGATTTATTTCAAGTCTCATTTGGGCATGATCTCTGGAAACGAGGCTTTAATGGT